TAGGGGAGAGCCGAGCTGTCCTTTCTGCCGAGCTTTTTCCCTCAAAGGCTTTTGGGCGCAACACAGGGAGCAGAGCCATCGCACCACTGGCACTTGCACACCGGAGCAGCAGCCTTGTCCCACAGGACGAGCGCCTGGTTGGGCCCCTGCTGTGTCCCGCCTGCCCCAGGACCTGGTGCTTGCAAACACTGCTTTTTCCTTTTTTTTTTTTCCTTTTTTTTCTTTATTTTTTTTTTCCCCCTCCCTCCCCCTGGGAAGCAAGCCCAGTGCACAGCACATTCTTCCTCTCCCCGCAGCCCCTGACCGGCTTTGACCCATGGGCGGGAGGCATTTAAAACAAGACATTTAGCAAGTTCACCCAGCGCTCTGCAGCGTTATTCCTTGCAGTTTGCAACAAATCTCCATCCCACGGAGACTTCCCGGTGAGTCCCCGTCACCGCGAGGCTGGGGACCCTGCGGTCCCCCGGGGCCCCGAGCAGGGGGGTTTCTCAGCCAGATCCGTGGAAGGGGGGGATGTTCCTCGCTGGATTTCGCCAGTCTCCGGAGTAAATTGCTTCCTGTGCAAATATGCCCAGGGTGGGTCCTTCCTTTCTAATTAACTGGGCCGGGGCCAGATCCCATCTCCTTTACAGCAGAATCAATCCAGCCCCTTTCCCAGTAACTGCGGTTGAATTCTGGGGGCGGTGGAAAGCCCCCCACAGTGCTGGTGGGTCCCACTCCCCAAACCCAGCAAGGGGGCAAACCGTGGAGCAGTGGGAACGGAACAGCTTGTTGGTGGTTATTTTTTTTTTTCCCTTTAACTAAATAATAACCAAGAATTCCCGAGGAAGGCTGCGGGGACCCCCCTCCCCTCCATCCTCTGGCCCTGGGATGCTCGCAGGGCTTTGCCGCTACCTTTTGCCCATGTTGTGGATTTGTTCCTGATTTGAAGATGCTGTTGATCATCATGGAAGATTAATGGTTTTAAATAAGTAACTGTAAAAACAATCCTTGGGCGCTTTCATCCCCAGCTGGTCTCTGGACCCGTTAGGCTTGGTCACCCTCGAGGCATCCCCAGAAGCGCCCTCCTCTTCTCCCTTTCTACCCTTTAAATAATACAATGTAAATGGAAATTTCAGCCCAGCCCCCCAGCTTTACAGCATCAAGCCAAGCCCCCAAATATTCAGTGCCTTGCAATGACCTTGGAAAGTCAGGGTGCCTGGGAAAGGGGGTGGCCCCGTGCGTGCCCCACCGTGGCTCGGCCATTGCTCCCTTGCTTTGCTTTTGGCAGCTTTTATCTTATTTCCCTCCCTCCTTTCCCCCCCAGTGCGCTCCAACGGGGCCTCTCGGCCTAATCCTGTAACGTGCCTGGCATCAAAGGGAGCAGGGCACTTTGAAGAGCCCTAATCCCATTTACTGCTTGGGTGGCTGCAGCCAGTGCTGGGCTGGGCTGGGTGAAGGGGTGAGTGTCGGCGAGCCGTGCCAGAGCCACCCAGACCCTGCGGCACTGCCCAGCATGGGCATCCCGTCCCCCAGGGATGTACCGGTCTCATGGGAGCTTCAGCTGGATGAGATGGGGCTTCCCATGCTTGCAGCCGCTGCTGGGTTGGTTTTGGCATCGCTCCTTCCTCCCTCGAGCGCTGGAAAAACGATGTTGCAAAGGCGGGATTTGGAGACGGTTGGATCCGGAGCTCTCCCGGCAGCGGGTCACAGCCGGGCTGCAGGGCACCGGTGGGCTCAGGGTGCGGGGGGTGAGGTCACCCGGACCCCCACCCTGGGGACATGCTGGAGGATGCCGGTGTGGTGGGGAGAGGAGGGGCGCGAGGATGATCTTAGAGGTCTTTTCCAACCTTAATGATTCTATGAGGCCGTGCCACCGACCGGTGCCAGGGTGAGGTGATGCTCTGTGGCACAAGGCTGCTGGGGCCGGACCCGGCACCAGTGGGGCCATCCTGATGTGTGGAGCGCCTGGAGCAGGGGGATATCGGGGTATCTATAATGCTTGTATGTATGGGTGTGTATATACATGTGCACAGGAAAACCAGTGAAACCCTGGGTATGGTCCTAGGCATGCAGCCCAGGTGGATTCTCTGATGTCTAGTATGAGGGCGATGCTCGCCAACCTCCCTCCTTTCCGTGGAAGCACTAAGGGCTTTCTCCTCTACCACGCCATTTATTCTCATATAACTTGTAGGACTGGGTAGCTGAGGCCTCTCCACCTTCATAAATTTAAGCCAAAGCTGGCAAAACACATTTGCATGTTTTAGGGCAGCCCTGCGGGGTTTCGGGGCTGCCCTGTTCATCAGCTGAGCCCCAGCCCCAAGTGCCTTTTATATGGTCAAGTCCTAAACTCCATGAAAACTGTGATTTGCAACGGAAATGTCCCAAGCTATTTCTGTTGACCAGATGTTTTTACAGGAAGCGGAAGGGAAATGGGATTTGCATTTGCGCTGGTTTCTTTATAGTGTTTTAATGAAATCCAGTGCATCCCATAAATTGATGGCATGCGGAGACGAGCCGGGAAGACTTCTTCCGCTGAAAACCCGTGGTGCCTGTGTCACGGCTTGTACGTCTTCAGCCGTGGCCACAAGAGGAGCAGTATTTTTATCTCTGCTCAGCGTGAGACTGCTTTGACTTCCTTTTTTTCTTTCTTTTTCCCCTTCCTTTCACCTGAAGCTGGTTTCTGAGAACTGCCACCTCCTGAGCAAGCAGGTCCCGCACCCCTGGGCTCCGATTTTCGGCATCTGGGGCTCTACACGGCAGCCAGCCAGGCACATGGTGGGGGACATCCCGGCGTTGTGGTCCCCATCCTAATTCCTTCTGGACCTGCTTTGTACCTCCAGGAGCAATTGCAGCTGCTCAAACGTGGCTTTAAGTGACTCAACCGAGGACATATGGAGAGGCAGTGGTGGAGGGGGAGCTGCTGCTGGTTCCTGCCCGCAGGGATGGAGAGGCCACATTTTGGGAAGCCTTGACCCCAGCAGCAGCTGTGTTTGCATCCCTGTCCCAGGCAGGGACTTGAGCAAACCCCCTTTTTTGCAGCACAATGCTTTGCTTCAAATCCAAACCACCTTTCCTCTTATTAGTGACCTGTAATTGTGCTTAAAAACTGGACGTGCCAAGTTGGATGCAGAAATGCCCTTCTTGCCGCTGCAGCCCTGTGAGCTCCTCCGTTCCCCTATTCCTGCACAAAATGATGCAACATGGTCTTTTCCTCCCAGGGCCACTATGAGTGGGTCACACGCTGCCCGCGGGCTCCTGTGGGCAGCAGGCGCCC